GCCCCCCGCCCCCTCCCATGGCCCAAAAATGTATGGGAGCCCTCATTTCTGCTGCATCTTATCCTCATGGAAAAAATGTTCAACATATTTATTTTTCTTGGGAATTTATTATTTCTGATGGTTTGGCAGTTTTGATTGGGGTCAAGGGAGACAGGGGAGATATAGGGGAGCGATATTTGATCAAATCTGTCTGTTTATACGGTATTTATATACATGACAACATTACATTACTACCAAAAGACAAAAGAGTTGTTTTTTTTTATTAGAGCTGCAGTGATTAATTGTTAATTAAGAGCAAATTAATCAGCGAGCGATCTGATTGTTGTTTTTCAAGCATAAATGTGTCGGTTTGCTGTTTTTTCTAGCCCGTTCAATATTATTTGATTTTGGAAAGTTGACAAGATTAAAAGAAAAATCTTTTTTAAAACCTTTTTATGAGCTTTTTAAAAAATAAAAATAAATTCTAAGTTAATTATAAAACATATCTGTTATGAGAAGAAGAATAGCTGGAACCTTTTACAGATTATCTTATTATGATGATTATTATTTAATTATCTGACTGGCACTACTGGAAAGATAGATTACTTGTTTGATCTATTATTAGTCTATCAAAATTACTTTCAGCCCCATCCATAAGTATTTCAAATGTTTATAAGCATATAAAATGTACCTTTTTATATAGTATAAAAATATAGTTATTTTAAAAATTTACTAAAATTTCAACTTTAAGATCATGAAAAATCAGTGTTGTTGCTGTTTGTTTGGTCAGTCAATCAATCAGTTGTCTTATTGTTTTAGTTCCACTGGCTTTTTAAAACTTATATAGAATGAAATTATATATTCATTAATGATCATAAAATTTTCCATCTATTTCGCTTCATGTTAACCTTTATGTAAATCGATTACATTAGTGTTCTGGATTACTGATTTGACCAAGCATGCTAAAAATGATGATAGTCAATGTTTAAATATGTCTCCAGCTTTCTGGATTGAACAATAAATCAATTACAAATAAAATAACTGGCAGGTAAACTGATACGTAAAATCATCTGTTCCAGGTCTTCACTGATCGTGAATACAGTCCGTACAAACATCTCCAGCTTTCTTAAAGCAGCTGATAATTCAAAATAACCGCCCTTCCAAGAGAGGAATAAGTAGTGCTGGTGACCCCGCACGCACACCCTTCATAAACATCAGCGATTATACACCTGCTCCCAGGATGTTGCCTTGCCTCTGACTCTTTTATCCTGGCCATCGATTGGCTCGACCCCGTACGAGGTCATTAGCTGCTTCCTCCGGGGCCCTCCTCGTATAACAATGGACTGTGTGCTTTTCCAATCCAAATGAGGATAGATTTAGTTTTCATTAATTGACATACTCATCCTCTCCCTCTCTTTTTTCTCCGTCCAATTGTCTTTTCATCTAGTGGCGCTTAAGTCCTAGGACGAAACGTCTCGGGGGAAATCTACAGAACAAACTGATTCGTCGAGATGGGAGGCAAACTCAGTGGTCACCAAACAAACCTCAGTAGTGCCTCGGTACTGCAGATAAATCTCCCTTTTTCCAGACTGCGATGTTACATTGATAGGAGCTGGAGAATATGAATGCATCCAATCCGAAGATAAGATGCTTAGAACCAACTAGTAATGTTACATCATCAGCCCTAATAGTACCTGCATTACTGGAACTCATGTAATCATATAAAAGTATTAGTGTAATCTACTACCGTATATTACCGCAGACTGTATCGCCTTTCTTATATTTTTTTATCACACACCATTTAAAATTGATAGTTTAGGACTAAAATAAGTGTAGCTGTAAAACGTCGTCTTTTTGTAGAGTAATAAGAAGAACCAACAATTTTCGTTTTCATTGATGGTTTTGTCAAGTGTTCCACTTGTGTTTTTATTACTCCAAGACTCTGGTCAACAGAAAAATAAAGCAAACTATTTTCTGTGTGTATTTTCTAATTGGATATTTCAGCTGTCTTGTCTGAACTTTCTTCTTTTTTTTTAAGTCCAAGAAGATGAAATCTCTTATTTTGTTCTGAGATGCCGTCTGAGGGAAAAATGACTTATTATTAAAATCTAGCTTAAAGAATGCTTTGAAATTTAATAGTATTTTCTTGCTCATCTGAGGCTGAATATTTCGCAATTTTCTTACATGTTGGTGGTTAATATATAGTCAACAAAAATACAATATTTTGAGACGATTAAAAAAACAAAATCCCCCATAGTCTTCTGTTTGCCACTGTGTAGGATAAATCTTAAACTCTAGTCCCTCCTCTGGATAATACAATACTGTCAGCATATTGCAGGTTTAATGTGTGTTATATAATGTAGAGGAGCTTAGAGCTGTAGTTTTACATTTCAGTGTCATAACTTGTGCCAGATTTATGTATTTATTGCTGTATCGCAGATGTACTCCTATTGGCGTGCATGTTGTCTGGTACTGGTTTAACAAAATGATGCAGAAAAAGAGTTTTAGGTTGGTTTCGAAAGGGTGTGATCATATTGTTTGTCTGCTGGAGTCGCTCTAACTGGTTTACTCGGCATTGTCTGCAGCACATGTAACAGAGCAGCATCACAGCTGATCAGACAGTCATGCAGAGTCAAGCTGGGTCTTTACAGCAGGCTGCTCACATGCATGCTAAACTGGAAGTTATTGTGTTCCTCACATCATGGAAATCCTGGGTCCATACACATCTTTTAGGTGAGGACTTTGTATGTTCTCACTGTGCCTGTGTGGGCTCTCTCCAGCTTCTTCCCAAAGACATGCATGCTAGGTTCAGCTAATTAGTTATTCTAAAGTGGTCGTATTTGTGAATATGAGTGCAAATCGTTGTCTGTCTTGATGTGTTAGTCTTGCAATACAATGGCAATCTGTCCAGGAGCCCCATCACAGGTGGGATAGCTCAACTCCGACCCTGAATAGGATAAGTGATTGAGAGAATAATGGATACAATTTGGAATCAGTGTAAGAGGATTTTTGAGGAATTGGAATTATCTGCAAAAACTTTTTCACCAATAAAAACATCGATATAACTGTAGAGCATCTGAAACAGATTATTTTGTCTGTCATAATTTTTTTTTCTCAGAAACTCAGGAGTACGTCTAACTTTCCAATTCAGCATTGCAGTTGTGCTGGAGCCTGTTCCAGCTGTCACAGGGTGTGAGACGGGGTACACCCTGGATACATCACCAGCCTGTACGCATAGAGACAAACAAACATTCACATGCATGGCCAATTTAGAATCACCATGCATGTATTTGGACTGTGGGAGGAAGCGGGAGTACCCAGGGAGAACATGCATGCTCCACACAAAAAGCCCCAGCTGGCCTGAGCTGGATCCTAACTCAGGACCTTCTTGCTGTGAGGTGTTGGTGCTAGCCACCAAACCACCATGCCAGTCCCATAACAAACCATGAGAGGCATTTTTGTTTTTTTCTCTTAAGTAACCAGATTATAATTTCTGGAAAGAAACATCAAAGCTATCGTTTTTCTTTCAAAGTGATTTTTGGTGCTTTTTGGCATTTTAATTCAGTAAAAGCAAACATCTGGTAAATGGTGAATGGATCGGTATTCATATAGCGTTTTTCTGCTTTTCTACTCTAAATGAACACTCAAATCATATCAGTATTATTAATGTGCATTATTAACATAGTCGGCCTCTGTTTTCCGTCTTTCTCAGGATGAAGTGGACGAGCTGCGGGCTGAGATGGAGGAGGTGCGCGACAGCTATCTGGAGGAGGAGGTCTACCAGGTACAGGAGCTGCGGAGGGAACTGGACCGCTCTAATAAAAACTGCCGAATCCTGCAATACCGCCTGCGAAAGGCAGAGCAGAAGAGCCTACGGGTTGCTCAGACCGGACACGTGGACGGAGAGCTGCTGCGCAGTCTGGAGCAGGATCTGAAGGTCTGCGAGCTTGTCTGTGTATTTGTCAGTGACCGCAGTAACACCTGTCATCACTCAACACTTTTACACTGACATTTTGTCATGCCAAAGTTATGAAGAATCCTAAAATCAGGGATTTTTATCTTTTAGGATAATTAATAATCTGAGCTGTAAGTTTATTCACAGCATCTTTTCAGTGTGGCAACATTATGACTCTAAGCCAGTCTTTCTTTTTCTGGCATTTTAGAATTTTGGAAGCTGAAAAAAAGTTCAATCCTCAGGCTCTATATTTTTAATCAATCAATAGCAATAAAAAAGCACAACATTTAATTTTACTTAAAGGTCAGTGTTTGTTTTACCAAAAAAAACCCATATACCCTAGCTTAGCTTCGCTTCATTATTTTCACAGTGGACCTGCACCTCCCTAGAGGGCGAGATTTAAGTCCAAGAAGTCCAAGTAGAAACTGAAATAGTTCAATGACTGATAGTGTCACAAGATTGATTTAAGAGAGAAACTAATAATCATTGTCATTATCAACTAATCTGTCAGTTTAATAGTAGTAATGATAAAGAAAGTTTTTCCTATAGGGCAGCAAATTATATAATAAAACATGTGTGGATGTGTTAGGATGTAAGTCAGTAGAGGAGTTCCTTAATGCACGTGTTAATATGTTAATTATGTTTGAACCTTTGGGACCGTGTTACCTTAGGTGGCCAAAGATGTATCGGTACGTTTGCACAACGAGCTGGAGATCGTGGAGGACAAACGCAGCAGAGCTGAGGACGAGAACGAGCTGCTCAGACAAAAGATCATCGAGGTGGAGATCGCCAAACAGGCACTGGCCAACGAGCTGGAGAGGACCAAAGAGGTCAGAGAATAACAATGCAGTAGTTGAGAGTTTAGCTTGTGGCTTTGCTGTAAATTAACAGCCTGTAAATATGGATTTCCACATATAAACAAGGAGGAATTTTGGTTAATGTGACCATGTTTGAGATGAATGGTGATCACTGACCTGATCAGCAGGAGGGTCACTGCAGTCAAATTTTGCCTTTAAGTGCAGAATCTTTTCTCACTCCCATCAGGCTGCGTGAACACGTTACTTTCGCTGTATTACTCAAAAATAAGGCCAAAAAGCCCCTCCCACTCACAGCTCAGGTGTGTGAACAAGTTGTTTCCCATAAATGTGCGTTAGGAAAGAGGTTCAGCAACTTCTTTTAGCCAACATTCAAAACAATAAACAATGAAAGAGCTCGTCAAAACCAGATGTCTTGCTTCTCGTGCTTCTCTTAGTTTAGACATTTTGACCTCGATGGTATTTTCCACTACACGGTTTGGCACATAATGAATGGCTACATCCCAAGAAGCAGTACATAACATTTTGTTCTAGATGTTATGAGCTTCAGACGAACTAAACTGAAGGTATGCGATAGCTACGAAGTCAGAGAGGAAATTCCAAGTAATGTCTGAGCTCTGTTTTTCTAGTTTAGTGGTGAATCTGAATCATGGAAAGTTATGCTTCTTTAGGTACTAGGAAGTATACTCCCACTTTAACTGCAGTGTACCCACACTCCCAATTTACCCATGTTCTTTAAACATTTTAATTTTGTTTTTGCTGCTGTATCAGTATAATTTAGGCTTTTGTTATACTTCAATATCACTGTTTACCTCATCTGTGAAGTAAGGCCGTCTCACAGGTAACGAGATGAGCAGGAGCTATTCTCACTGCTGCTCAGCTTCAGTTGATTAGACTAATCGATTCTGACAACAGGAGGTAACATGCCATCTGCCAACAAAGAAAAAACTAGGCTAATACCAGACCGGTCAGTCTGGAGATGTTGCTTTCTTTTGGCAGCAGGATGACACAGTTTCTCGTTTCCTGTCGTTATGTGCGCTGCTGAAGATGCTTTGATTTTAAGCTCATGCCACATTGTCTCCGTGAGACTTTGCATGCTTCTGCGTACCCTTCAGAAAGGTCTACCACTTTAGAATCTATATTCTAAAGATGTTTCTGACCTTAACTGTCAACATCGCTGTTTTCAAAGACAGCTTATCAGGAACTGACTGAGAGGCAGAATTCATGTCTACTATGGATGTGCTAATGCAGTCAACGCAACTCTTGTTGCTGTAATCCTGATAACCTTTTAAAGGAAAGTTATTGGGAAAGAGCGAGAGTGCAGTGTGAAGAAGCTGCACATTGTTCTTTTGACATTTTTCAGATATCTGTAATGCGGGGCGCGCTGTGTAACTCTGTAACTGTGGCTCAGTGCAGTTTTATGCTGCTCGGTGGTGGTGGGACGATGCATACATTTATGAGCATAAGATGACACAGACTGTCTTGTTCAAAGAGGAGGAGTGGAGGGAGTAGCAAGTAGAAAGGCTGAGACAGCGTCTGCTCCTTATGATTTTTTTTGTGTTTTCCCCCGAGCTTTGTCCCAGAAAAACATAAACCGTCTCTGGCTCTTTTATAATACAGCACCCCCAAATGTGTTCAGAGTTGGTATCCACATTTCTTTGTCCGTGGGCTCGCATAAAGTCTTCTGATTGCTTTAAAATTCAGGATAACCATTTCGGGAAGTTATTAGAGTGTTTACACGCAATTTATTTGGCGATCAGCTTCAGCAACTGAATCTCAGAAACTGCCCTTTGCTCTCAGAGCTGCTCAGTCACAGAGATAACATCAGTCACAGATAGGAAAGGAGCAACACACTTACTGATAAGAATGTAGCTCAACTGGATTGAGGAGTACTTCATTTCCTTTTCAGATTTAATTACACCTTGTAAACCATGACTCAGGTGTACCGTGACAATATTTACAGAAGAAAAGGGAAGCGCATAATCCAGCACTGCTTTGAGTTTTGTTCTAGTTTGTATGAGTCAGCCCCATTAATTTTCTTAGGATATCTTTTCAGCTCCTTTATCACTAGTGTTGAATGCTAACATACACTTTAAATGCAGACGAGCACCACTGCATGAACAAAGCACCTTAACGTGGGCTTCTCAAATAAAATCATACTGCCGATCAAAAAAAAAACCCCAGTTCAGCTCAAGTTCATTATAACCATCTATTCAAAAGAACTCTTCAGAAATTAAGAGTTAGATTTAAATCTTTATACACATAAAATGTACTTTAAATAAGAGCAGAGATGGCTAATCCAAAGAGCATTGGTTGGATCCCTGCCTCCTCCAGCCTGTGTATTTAAGTATCCTTGGTAAAGATAGTGAACCGCAAGTTGCCTCTGATGTGTCCATTGGTGTGTGAGTCTGTGTGAATGTTATATAAGTACCGGTCCCTTTACCGTTTATATCAATACTTTGATCTGTTACTTTAAGCATCTTTTAGTAACCATACAAGTATTTATGAAAGCAGGAGTTGCTGGACTGATCTTAAAACACCAAAGTTACACAATAGTACAAACCAACCAACCAGTCGAGACTAACAACTCCCATTTTTTTGTGGGACCTAAGAAATCGCATTTTATATTAATTTATCTACTTTAATTAAAGTTTTTGTGCTTGCGTAAAAGATACTGAGATGTATTGTGTAATCTGAGGGTAAACATCTTTGTTTCTGTACCTGAATTTGGCTTTTATACAAGGCGATCTAAAGAGCTGTGCTACAAACCTCATGTTTGACACGTTTCCCTAAAAACCTCTAGTGAAACACAAACATCGATATAATATTCTGTGTGTAAAATGACATGTTAAAAATCAAAATCAACTGTTACCTTCCTCGCTCTGTGTGTGTACATTTAACAGCTTAAAATCCAGCCATCAGTAAATGTTGTCTTATTTGCAAATAGTTATTCTGATGTTGGGCATATGTTATATTTATACACATTAAGCCTCAATTTGTTTTGAAAAAGTATTATGAAAAAAAAATCAGTTTGAATTTTTTCACAAAGGTCGGCTAATCTCCAACAGTTTGTGCATCTCTGCCCTTTAAAACCCAAGTCCTCATGTCCCTGCGCCTGTTCTTGGCTATTGGAGGCTGCACAATGTGACGCTGGCCCAGAGATTGGCACCCCAGCATGGATTAATCCAACAAGAAGGGCTGTTATAAAACAGCCTGGCGTGTTTCCCTACGCTCAGATGGGAGGGGAGAGTGAGGGAGAAAAAGACAGAGAGGTATGGGATGGCTGTAAGCAGACGGCCATAGGCCACGTGTGCGTGCGCTATAACAACAGCTTTCGGCCCTGATATCAAACAGTTTAGCAGAGCTGCCTGACGGGATCTTCTTCACTTTAAATTATGGTCTCGTTGCTGGTCAGCACGAAGGCAAACAGTGATCAATTGGGAGATTTTTCATTCTGACATTTGAAGAAAGGCCCACTGATGTGTGTAATGAAATGGAACTAATGAAATGCCAACACGCAGAACACGAGCATCAGGTGATTTATTTGCAGTTCCCGCTTCGCTGTGATAAACTCATCTTTCATTAGGCCAAAGGATAATCCTTTGTGCGGTGGTTTTCCCCCTCAGTGACTCCCAGGTATGTTGCACGTCAGATATTTTCATATTGAAGCATTAACTTGACATCAGACGTCATGAAAGCAGTGATCAATAAAGTCTCATTGAGGGTTATGCTGGTAAGATGAGGCTTCTTTTGGAGTAGGCAGAGAGCATTTAAGTGTGATTTCGTAGTGTTTGTTCTGCTGAAGGAGTTCTAATAAAAGCCTTTCACAGCAGTATCTGTGGATTATTCATCTTCTTAATGAATTTGAGTGGAGGACATATCTAAAAAGGAAGGTGACCAAATAAAGGCACTATTAGTGGGGCCTACTATATTAATTTTGATTTAATCGAGTCATAGCGAAGCCCTAAAAAAGAGAATATATCTGGAACTAAGAATCTCTAATCACTTGATCCCAGACCCTGATGTGATGTTTCAAGAAAGCCTTTCTGGTCTGTCAGACAGCCCAAATTAATTTCACACTGGCCACTTTCTTTTCTTTTTTTTTCTCAGTCTAATTGATTATTGCATCTGAGATTTTGGCTCCAGTGATGTAATATTAATATGGCTAAAAGTGATAAATATCTCAGACACTTGTCTTCCTTAACAGCTAGCTTATCTCTTCGCAAATGTTTGAGAAGCTCTGTGAGTGTAAACGTCTGTCATTATTTTGGTACTCTTTTTTCTTTAATAAAGAAAAACCTCTGCTGAGGATCATTTGAGATTGAAAGCTGCCATTTTTGGGAAGTGGAAAAGGGTATGTCACCTGAAATATACATTAAAACGAGCATGTGCAGGCAGAATGTACTCGAGAGAAAATGTTTACATGATGCAATCTGTTCGATGAGGGTTGTATTCCAAAGGCTGATTTGCTTCAAGTGCTTGTGGATGCATAGAAACGTCACCTGTGCTCATTAGCAAGCTTCTGTTTTGTGTTTTTTTTTGGGGGGTTTGTTTAATCTTTGCAAAGCGATGGTGTGTTTTTCCTTTAATTGCCTTGTTTCACGTGCAGGTTGCAGTGGAGACGAATCAAAAATTTGCAAATGATGAACTGATTTGATGTGCATTATCAGTTTAACTACTAACTAACTGCAACACAACTCTGCTGGTTTTTAACTATGAAAGAGCCACAATAACTGGGTTCACTTATGCAGTATCTAAAAGTAAAGACTGAAGGTGTCTATGAGAGAAGTTCTAACCTTTCAGTTGTTTTGTTGCTGTGTTTTCCCCACTACAAAGATTT